ACAAAGAAGCATTTGGCACTTAAGGGAGGCAAATTAAACTATGAGTTCCCTGGGGTGAGCAGAGAATCTCTCTGCAACTCTGCCAACCAATTCTTCACCATATTGATTTCTTCTTTAGAAGATCAGCTGCAGGCATAAGTCTTTTATCTACTAGATAACATCAATATTGATTATTTTGCAACTAGAAATCACAGAATTTAATATAGCTATTCATTTAAACAAAAGGCCTGATACAGGAGGACAAAATGTGCAATTATTCAGTGCAATATGGATACCTGTCAACTGCTGCAGCAATGCTACAAGCTGTTCTTAAAACCATCCTAACAGTCCTAACTGTGCCTCATCCCACAGGTTTAGCATGATGAGATACGCCCAACACAACGGACATTATGCAAGAGCAGCCTGAAAGGGGGAAAAACCAGAGAGAAAATTATATGCTTGAAGGATCGTCATCCAGTGCTGATTCTCAAGTACAGCATTAGCACTTTGGGACTTCTGTGATTCCCTGTGAGAAACAGCTCTGTGTGAAGCAGCAGGACCAGGGGAACACAAGCACAGATTACAGTCCCTTCATCTGCATGTGCCCCAGGTATTGGGAGTAAGGGAGCCATTACCAACAGCTTTCTGAGCCTAGTCTTTTTGTCTGTAAAGTATTTGTTTTCCAAATAAAACAGAATGAACTATTTCATTTTCCCTGGATGAACAGATTGTTTCATTCTGAATCTGTTTGAATTCTGTTTGAAAATTTTGAAAAAAAAACCCCACCAGAATTCTGTTTGAAACAGAAACCAATTCGGTTTCAGAACTTACAAACATTTAACTTTAGATTTTTCTTTTCCACAAAACATTCCATCTCAGCATCCTCACCTTTTCAGTAACACTATTAATTTTTCATGTGAAATATTTTTAAATGAAGGCTTTTTAATATGGAATTAAACTTATTTGGAACCAGTTAGTCAAAAACTGAGGAATTCAGCCAGGAAGAAGTTCAGCACAGAGCACCACACACAAAGCTGCACCTTACAGGAACTGGTAGTATTACCCTTACAGTTTTCTTTACCTCAGGAAAGAAGGTCTCAGCAAGGGATTTTAAATTTTAAACTTTAAGAAACTGCCCATAAGGAATGTCATTAGGACATAGTTTTTAAAGTAATATCATTATTGATTAGCAGCACTTTTGAACATGGAAATTATTTGCTCTACCTTAATAAGAGGATTGGACTAGATAATTTCTCAAAGTTCCTTCTAGTCCCATACTCTGAGACTATAAAACTTTTTCCTGGGGGCAATCCATGGGCAAAAAAACCCTAGACCACTGTGAGAGACTGAAAGAGTGAATGATGTCTCAAACATTGTGGCAAGGCAGGTTCTGCATAACAAAAGTCAGGTTCTGCCCAGCAATGAGAAGAAAAGCCTTAAGAGTTAAATGCTGGAAGCATGGGCCTCTACCTGCCCAGTTCTGTGTTACCAGGCAAAACAACTCACCATATATGGCCAGAAGTCACACACAGTTTATTTGGGGAAGGTGCTCACCACCTCCACTCCACAAACACGATGACTGTGCAGCAGACCAAGAGATACTTAAGTCCTCAAGGGACTGGGCTGTATAAAAGGCACTGGCTCAGGGAGCCATGTGGGTGCCCACCATCAGAGGACTGCCCTGTCGTCACTGTCATTGAGGAATCATCAGGGGATCCAAGGGTGGTGATGTCTTTCCTTATCTTTTTCTCTTCTTCCTTCTTACAAAAGGTTTCCACTAAGAGCCCCCATTGGCAGTCACTTTTACATTGTCCTGGTCCAAAGTGTTTACCTTTTATAAGTTCAAATTGTTTACATCAGAATGTTTAATTGATTGTTTTGTGTTGTTCATCTTAACATATCCCGAGGGGATTTACAGAACTGTAGTCGCTCTCCTCCCACCTCTGAGGCAGGATGCGACAACCACCACCACCACCCACACCCTTAATTCTGTTACTATAACATCTACTAAAGATTAATGACGCCTCAGATGGGGAATAGGAAGCTCTAGGGCAGGCTCACAATATACTCACAAGTAGAATCATACAAAAAAACACCTCAAAGCTGTTATACTGCTTTGTAACTACAGAGGGAAACGCAACACCCAGGTTACAGCCCATGCTTTTGCTTACCTTGGATAGAGAGATATGGTCAGTTTCAAGGAACTGCTTGCTTAAAGAAGGGTCTGTGCTTCCTGAAGAAGCCTTCCGCTCCAAAATATGAACACTCTAGAAGTAATGAAAGATAGCAATTTATCATTCAATGTTACTTTTTTTTTCTCTACAGGAGAAAATAGCCATGTTCTGCCTGTCTGGATTTGCATTTCATTCTCTCGTGAAACATCTCATTTTATTATTATTTGGTGAGAATTATACCGCAATATGTCAGTAGTATCTCTTTGGCATGAAATAAAACCATTTCATTTCCAGGACATGTAGTACAATGACAAACTTGCAATTGCAGTGACCCTCTGAGAAGGGTAAGTTTTTCCCAACTGAAAATGACATTTAAATTTTGTTCACATTCACTGAAGAAGAGTTTAGACAGGTACAAATGACAGCAGAAACAATCAAGGAATGTAAAAATACATATAAACAGCAGAGTAAATATTATTTTTTATACAGACAACTAAGTACATAAGGACCATAACTAAACGAAATGAAAATAAATGCAACTATTCACATAACTGCACATATATCAGAGCACATCCTGCTGCACAGCAACACACAGACCTTCATTGTTCTCTTGCAATTTGCAACTGTGAATGAGAATAGGAAAATACGGGGATCATCTCTGTTTTCAGTGGAGATTAATAAGCATCCCCACTACTATGAAACAACAATCAGCAGTTATTTTCAGTTACTTTTAATTTAATTTTACAGTGAAGAATGTGGAAAAGCAGCAGTATCATTACCTGCCACATTCCAGCCACAACCAGCAAAAGCTTTGTCATCTATGCTTTGAAATCTTCTGCTTTATCAAAGAAATGCCAATCTTATAACTTAGCCCAATGTCTATTACTAGCCAGATGAGAAAAATGTTTGTATTTGTGTAGCACAAGTTCCTGCGTTACATGTCAAATAACATAATATGCTTGTTTGAGCTGAGCAACACAAAGTGATATACTATGAATAAGTTTTCTCACTGGATAGATGCAATGCTACTTATGTACACAGTATCACATATAAACAATGTACAACAAAACCTAAATCTGTTTCTCCAAGGAAGATAAAAATGTTGGTTGATTATCATAATCAGGATGATTCCCAACTTTGTTGCCAGTTTTGTTTGGCAGGCACGAATCCCTCCATCTTGAGATGGAGCAATGCCCAACACAGATGTTCTGGAGGTCCCATATGTAGCAGCCGGTGCAGTTTGTTGTTACATAACTGCAATTTCATTTTGTACAACATTTACAGTGGAGTAACCCAACAGCCCTTGGCTTGCCAGATTTCCAGTGACATTTTCAGTTGCATTATATTAAGGCACAGGGGTTTTGTGCTTTTTCGTTTTTCATCAGCCCTCAGTCATGACAGTTCCACTTCAGTTGAGAAATACATTATTAGCTAACAGCACTTTAATGAATGCTGACTTATTCAGCTATTTGTTTGGAAATAAGAAAATGAACACTTTTAAAATAAAATTGCCTTCTTTACATTCCTTACTTCAAGAAATGTCGTCTTGTCTGCAAACGTCTGCCTTCCAATTCTTTTCTGTCATAATCACCATTACATTGACACAAAATAATTTCCTAAAATTTGTGAGATGTCTCTAGTATAATATTAAGAGACATTACTTGCTGCAAAATGTTTTCCATTAATGCATGTTATTTTTCTGCAAAATTACAGCTAGAAATTACACAATTATTTGACATTTTGAAAAGCAGCTATTTTTATAATGCAGGAGTTTAGCATCACAGAAATAAAAACTATTTAGATCTTCAAGACATTAGCAAGTTTTTCATTTTAACAAGAAAAATAGAGTTGGTAAAGTAAGCAGTTAAAAAGCTAATGAGAAGAAAGGAGAGGAAGTTCAATACAGCTTCTGGATTTTGTTTATACAAACAGAAAATGAATAATCCATTAATCTAGGCTTATCAAGCAGCCTGGTACTCTCACTCCTCTCATCCCAAGAATACAGGCAGCCAAAACCAACCTCTGTATCGCTCCATTCCAGACTTTCCCCATGCTTCAGGATTACCTGTGCGCTACAGCTGGCTTGTCCTGGTGAAAAACACCAGCACTCCCAAATTCTTGTGCTCTTGGAAATTAATTCAACAAGAAGTTTAACTGAAATTGCTCTGTAATGCCATTGCTAAATCTTAGTCCTAACCACAATCCTTCCTTCAGCTTTGAGATTATTCATAACATGTGAGCACACATTTGCCCCAAATTGCCCCTAACAAGCCTACATGTGGGGAACACAAATGCTGACTCTGCCCTGTATTTTTTACATGTTGCTTCCCAGAGACATGTGAGGGAGAAGGAAGATGATGGAAAGAATAACAACATGATGTTGTTTCATATTCTCATCTTCTTTGGAGGGCAAGAATGGAAAACATATTTTACAGTATCTATGCACGTGTCTTGCCAACTTTGCTTCTCAGTTAAGAGTTCAGTGACTCATTCACCTCATCTACCAGAGCAAATGCTAGCACATAGAGCATCTGGTCTCCATCAGGCCAGAGGCTGAAGACCCTAACATTTCTTAACTGAATCGACTTGTCATGAAAAGACAAGACATTCAACTGTTTTCAAATGGAAGACAAGGAAAGAGAAGAGATAGGAAATCCAGTGAGGGACAAGTCTGGCACTTATGCCTCCCTTTCTGCTTTGCTGCCTCATTACTTAATGGAATTTAATTCTATTTAATGCAATGAGTTCTCTCTAATTTAAAATTTATTCATTTTCAAGACAAAAACAAGCTGGTGAGGAATTTATCAGTCACACTGAACTCTGACTCTCTTAAATTCAGAAATGTGCATAACATGCAGCTAACAGTTTATTAATGAAAAAGAATTGGTGGGTCATTCTGTTTGCTCACAGCATTCAGCAGTCTTCAACACCCATAACCATGGGGCCTAGACATACACTGTTCTACAACAGTAATTTAAAATAGAGCTTTTCTCTCTGGGTCGTGTGTGATGTTTTAATCTGCTATTCCCTGGCATTCCTTCTGCAACCTCCCCCTGCACAGACACGTGTTCTTATCTGAATTGTGTTTAGTATGAAGTGCAATGCTTAATTGCTTTTTCTCAACTGAAAACACAGTATTCTTCAGTTGTCTGAAATACAGCAGTAGTAATAAGGCAGATGGAGATTTGATTGCAGACATACCAGTTATTACTGTCTTTTAAATAGAGCTGTGATATATACTGAGTTAATCTGCAACATTATTAGCAAATGGAATAACACTGAAATTTGCTTTTATCTTAGGCTGCTTCTCAGTCAGCTCTGCCTTCCCTTCTGTTGATGCTGGAATAAAGAGAGAGTCTTGAATACCACTGTGAGAGAAGTGCGAGTACAAAGTAAAACAACCATGTCTCCATCAATGCAGTTCTCCTTTCTTTCTTCTAGCACATTTTTTTCCTTTGTATAAAGCAACCATGGTTCTATTCTCACCCTCAGTCTCTCCTGTTGACACTGCTCCATAGCAGTTTTCAATAGTCTCATCTACCAACCAACAGACAAAGGAACTTAATACTATATGAACAACATATGTAACTTATGGGGGTTTTTTGGTCTTCTTGTAGTACATACTCATCTTGTACAGAAATGTGTTTAAGAGCAATGTTTTCTCTCTGTGCCCTTTTTACTGAAAGACAACTGTATCTAAGCAGCAGTTCTGTAGCGTATTAGTATCATACAGGTATGCACGTCTCTACTTCTTTCCTGGGATGGGCAACATAAACACTTTTTGTATTACAGAAATTGCTAGGATTTGTTAGCTGACGAGCTCTGTCAGCCCTTTCTGGAAATCCAGCTTTGCATTGTACGTAGCACTTCACGTCAATGCTTTTAGGCTCTGGAAGCAAAGAAGCCTTTGCTTTTCAAGGTGCTTTTTGATGAACTCTGAAGAGAAATAAGCACTTGCTCCTCTGAAGAGCTTCTTGGAGGGAAGTATTAGCACAACTAGTAAAGCAGAAAAGAGCTATAATGGTAACACCAATCTTCTCTTTGCCACAGGGATGGTTTGGAATGACTACCAAGTCACAGTCTAAGTCTTTAATGACAGTCTTCTCCTTTGACACTTCAGATTTTGAAATCTCAGAGCAAACAGATAAACTGACAATATTTGACAGAGAAAATTCAAATGTTTGCTAATAATACATGGCTTTTTTATGACTATTGAATAATCACAATTAAAAGGATAGATATTTTGCTAACTAGTCTCAGGCTAGCAATTCATTTTATTAGTGCTGAAGTAGTTAAAAAAAGGAGGAAAAATAAAACTACATAAACAAAAGAAAAACCTTTCTTGATATGTTCATTTGTAAACTAATGAAAGCATTCTAGACATGTTGAATGGCCTTCTTCAGAAAATGTATGTAGTTTTCACTTTAATAAATGGTTGCAAGGGAGTCTCAGTTAATACAAATCACAGGCCAGAAAGTTGAACACTCACATTAAAAAGTGCTAAGTTCAAAAAAAAAAGAAAGGCCTTTCTTCCTGGGGCTCTCCTTCACATCCTTGTGTAAGCTACCCACTTAGAATTTCTCAATATCCTTTAAATTTTAATATATGCAGAACAAAAATACAGGAACTAGGGAAAAAGGAGGTTGAAAAATTTAAAGATAATTTTTTTTTACAGGAAATAATACTCTACTGGGGAAAAAAAAGTTTCGATGTAACAGCTTTATTTTCAATTCCAGGATAAAGGATTTAATGAAAAAAAAGAGAGACGTCAGAACAGCAAATACCTTTACTAAGACAGACATTTATTCTGTCTCATACATTTATATGTCCTGAATGTGGATAATCCTCATCATGCATGAGTGTCTTGAAAACAGCAGCCTTCATATCATACCTGCCATCACCCTCTCTCTTCTTTTCAGTGTTGTGTCTTTTCTCTCCACTGAGGAAATTAAAAGAAAATAGTGCTTCTTTTTCTTCCCTCAATTTGTTTCCAAGAAATCCTAAATGGCACTCCGGAATAGTTGCACTGCTTCCCTCTGGCTTCATGTGCATGTGTGAACACACACATATTCCTCACTGACCCGGAACAGCCC